AAAAAAAAAAAAAAAAAACTATAATACCTGTTTCTGTTTTAGCAAAATCGAAGATAAAGAGAAAAGATTTCTGTCGCGTGAAATATCTTACTCCACTCTTAGGAAAATCGTTACGGGCGGAAAATATTAATTTTCCTCCGTCGCCTGAAACCTCTTGAAACCTCTTCGAGCTAGAAACGTCTCTTACTTTAAACATCTCTTCGTTATATACTGTTTGTGGGACATCATTTTAGAAGCTTTGAATTTTCATACCATGCAGATGATAAACTCATGACTTATCCCGCCATGAAGTTTTCTATTTTTGAGAGATCATGCTTCAAAATGTCACGAAACTTGTGTCCATTTACTCTCTTCTCCTGATTCTCTACCTGCGAATTTGAATTTCCCTCGAATTTTATACGAATTATCGTTTATGTTTATATTATCATTTTCAACCATCACTTATGTTTATATAATTATGTTTTAACATGTCGGCATTGTCGGCATTGTCTTCAGTCTGAAAAAAGGGACATCAGGCCTTGGCCATTAGTTGTAAAACAATAAGCAATAACCTGAAGAACAGACGAGCACGTGTCAAACCATCTAACGCCTTAAAAACTATAGTTAGAGACGACTTTTTTTTTTAGCAAGCTTTTTTTCCAACGGATGAGTCGCAATCTCTTAAAACTGTGAAAAGGACAAATGTATAAAAACATAAATATAATGGAGAAAATAAGAAATTCTGATTCGACTTTTAGTACAAGAACGTTAAACTATCCGTTGCTTATTCAAAATGTTTTGAAACAAACGTTTTTAACTGAAGGTTAAGCGAATTGAAGTACCGTGGATCTGACTCTAATAGTTAATCCTTTAGAGGCCGTAAGTTTATATATAACCGTAATATTACTTCGATCTATACTATATTTACACTTTATTTTATTTATTCATTTATTCGTATGTAGATAATGAGGTCCATTTGAATTTTGTCCTTGTAACAATAAGAATTATCTATTTGAGTATTCAACAAGTTTCAATGACTGAAATATTTCAGTCCAACTGAAGAATTTATCTTCGTTTCTTAAATATTCTTTTTACGAGTCAGAGTTTACGAAGAATTATCACTTTCTACAATTACAAAAAAAAAAAAAAAAAAAAAA